ATACGATTCACATATTCCAGAATTTTTCCTCTATATGATAGGGGAGATCTATAATATGTTAAGAATGAGATATACAACTTGATTATGTTGAATCAAGAAGCCCGAGTGTTTTTTTAATATGATAAAGGGATATATATATGTGTGTGTGTGTGTGTGTGTGATAATACTTATAATTTTATCAAATGAGACTAATAATTTTAAAAATCTCCTCAATATTATAGTTAGGGTTTATATCTTGATCTTGTGAGATCAAAAATACCCGAATCTCCCCGATGTGATAGTGGTGATCCCCAAAAAAGATAGAGAATCTCCTCAAAGTGTAATAAAAGAAGGCACCAAAAGATGTGAAAAATAGGACTTACAGCTTGATCGTGTAAAATCAAGTAGTTGGGCTTTTTTGATCACATACTATCTAGTTGTAAGTTCTTCGTCACATTGAAAACATGTCGGAGATAACTTGATTCTACACGATCAAACTATAAATCTCATTTTTCACATCTTTTAACATATTCTTTACTACTATTTGAGAAATTTCTCAACTATTCTTTGGGGATTTCCCCTGTCATAATGAGAAGATATTCGGGCATTTTCGATCTCACATGATCAAGATATAGGCTTTATTTATTCTCTTTTCTTTTTCTACAAAATTAATGAGCTATTCATTTTTTATTCAATTCTTGATATATTCTCTTGTATATTGAGAAGATATCTAAGAATTCTTGATCCCACGTAATCCTTTTTGCATCACTTCTTATCTTCTCTACTATATTGAATAGATTTTTAGTATTTTTTATCTTATAATCAAGTTATGAGTTTTTTCATTTACATTTATACATCCCAACTATTATATATTGAGAAGATATTCGGGCTTCTTGATACGATTCACACATTTTAGAATTTTTCTTCTATATGGTAGGCAAGATCTATAATATGTGAAGAATGAGATATACAACTTGATTATGTGGAATCAAGAAGTCGGAGTGTTTTTTTAATATGATACAAGGATATATAGATGTGAATGATAATACTTATAATTTGATCAAATGAGATCAAGAATTTAAAAATCTTCTCAATATTATAGTTAGGGTTTATATCTTGATCTTGTGAGGTCTAAAATGTCCGAATCTCCTCAATGTTGTAGGGGTGGTCCCCAAAAAAGGTAGAGAATCTCCCTAAAGAGTGATAAAAAAGACACCAAAAGATGTGAAAAATAGGATTTACAACTTGATCAAATAGGCCTGCCATATCTCTTTCATGTGATGGAGGAAATATCTAAAATGAGACTTCTCATTTGATCATGTGTGGTCAAAAAAGCTTAAATACTAGACTTATATCCTATATAGGTTAGAAATGACATTAACTATCTAGTTAAATGTGAAGGTGAAAATATTTGTTAAACTTTGATGAAGAAAAAGATAGATATACCTTAAAATTAATTAGATGAAGGAAATATATGTATATGAAGTTTATTTTTAGGTTATCTATTATAAAGTGGATCCAAAACTATATGAAGACTTATGAAATTATGATATGATGTATACATAAACCAGACTAGAGATTGATAAATCACCTATTTGTATCTAATATGACAAACTCATATACTTAATCACAACTCTTATTAGAACAATATAATAGATTTATTTTTATTTTAAATAGATCTTATTTATAAATGGGTGATATGTGACCTTAAGAGTATACTCGTCATTGCTAGAAATCCTGGTATTATCAATCACAAAACAATCAGTATAAAGTAATAATATATTGTAAAGTAGTCAAAATAGATTAAAAATGAAATATAAATATGGAATTATTTATATTTTGCTATCCTAAAGATCCCTACAAAAAATATGTTAGTAACATAATATAATATCATAGCTCTGATCATGCTATCTATGTGTATATAGGTTTATAATAAAAGATTATATAATTTATAAATAGGTCCAATCTCAACCAACAAAAAATATATAATCAAATATAATTAGCTTAATGAATTTTAATTTCATAAATTAGAACTCTATATTTTTTTCTAAATGCATGTAAGCATGATATAATGATAATATAAATACATGATAAAAACATACAAATGAACTATTTACTATTTTATATGATATAATGTCAATGTAAACTACGAGCACAATTTTCATTATATCATTCCTATTTTGTTTGATGATATGTTGCAAGCTTCAAGTATATGATTGATTCATGCTTTGGATTCCATTGATTTATCCAAAACTAATATTTAATTATTTAATAAATTTAATAAGTTTAATTCAATTTAGAAAAAAATGATAAGCTGCATTGATAAATTTAGTTATTTTAATATAGATTATTAATTCAAATATGTGCAATTAAACAAATTTTATCATCCATTGGTGTCCAACTCGAGTAAGCTCAAGTGATTCTTTCATGTGTTAAATATGGTCGGTCTTCAAATTCGCAATTCAATAACATTTATGTTTAAGATTTTAAACTAACCCAAGTTTGTATAAATTTTGTTATAAAAATTTTCAAATTCTTGCTTAAATGATTTTTCTAAATTAGTGCTTCCTAGAATTGTATATAATTAATTGTGTCTAATCCTACAAGCCACATTAGTTTATTCTGACGAAAACTATAGTAATTCTTATCATGTCATACCTTTACAAATCTATATTCTCTGTCATGACGGTCTCTGCCATTTTCATACTTCATCTAGCCTTCTCCCATTCCACAACCTTTCATTCCATCTGGAATGGTCAAGCAATCTAGAACAATTGCTCTTATAGCACTACATTTCTCTACATCAATCTATTGCCCATCATTTATCCTTTATATTTCTCCACGCATCATCACATGGAGGTACACACTCGTTTAGCAAATTTTCTTAGACCTATAGGTTATTATAGAGTAATTTAGGATAATATTTTGTAGATTCTTGAACTATTCTAAGCATTAAAAGATTTATATCTATCTTTCTTTCTCATATATATTTGATTGTCATTTTCACTTTCATATGCAATTAAGTAGTTAATTAGTGACATTCTTCATCCATGTAATATGTATGATGTGATACCATGCAAAGGAACAAGATTTGCTTGGGGATTTTAATATAAGATTATTAAACCTTTGCTAATTATAGATTTCGTGCTTACCCAAGTTAGGTTTTCGAAAATATCAATTAGAGACTATGCAAAGCATGTAGTTACAACTAGATTAAGGGGCTGCTATCAAATTAACAACATAAAAATAAATAGAGTAATGTTATGGCAAAACAATAATCCACGGCTAACAAATAGAACTCTTCACCTTGGGTCCCTCACTCACGCTCTTGACGGCGGGGCTTTAACGGAGGAAGATTGAGAGCAAACCGAGCAATGCCACTAAGAGATAAATGGTGCCCAAAGTGTAGTCCGTTGGGAAAGTAGCTGGTGGCGGGGAATTCACGGGATGACTAGTGAGCATCTAATGTCTGGAAAAAATGTGCTCCTCGATGGAAGATACTAGCGTAAACAGGATGCGATGTAAGTAATCCTCCACGGAAGAATCCAGGTCTAGGTTCACGTCAAAGAAAGGAGATTCAAGGATGTTGGTTCATCCTTGATCATCAAATAAGGAAATGGTCGACTTTTGGATCGGCCATGCATAGTGGTGGCGACGGTTAGGAGGATCTCTCTTGAGATTGGTGAGGAGAAGGTGAGGGGATGATGGGAGAAGACTTGGGAGGGTGAGGGGGCGGCTAGGGTTGGGGGGTCTTTGGGTTGAAACAAGTAGCTTGGCGGGAAAGGAGATGAGAGGGAAAATCTGAGGTTCAATTTCAGATTTTCATTAAGGGGAAAGGCCAATTTGAAATTCAAATTAACACAATTAAGGGAGTAATGGGGGGCCGGCGGTCATTAGGGGATTTATGAGGGGGTTTAATTGTTTCTTAGGTGGCAAAGTGGAGAAAGAAGGGGGAGAGAAGGAGGCCGGCCATAGGGGTTGAGGAAAAGGATCTATGTTCAATGTATATGGGGCCCAATTGATCGCATCCTTAATTAAATCAAATTATGAATTTAAATTCAGATTTGATTTGCATTGAGTAGAGTTTCCTAATTTGGTGTAATCGCTTTAGGAAGAGATTTGAAATTCAAATTTCACATTGAATTCCATTTAGAAACTTCCTAAATAACAAAGAGGCAAATGAGGAAAGTAATAACAGCTCTTTGAATTTGAATTTCAAATTCTAATGCTAGGATCAATGGAGGCCGATGGGTGGGGATCCCAGGGGGCCGGCGGCTATGTAGAGGGGAAGGAAGTTTTGTGGGGCGAATTATGAGCTTCCAAAACAAGCTATGTAATTTGGAAAAATAATTATGATATCCACTCTAATATGAAATTCAAATTAGGTCTATATTAACTCACTTTCCTAATTTAGGATTTCAAAAAAAAAAAGTAAAGTATTTGAAATTCAAATTTTGAATTTCAAATAATTTGAAGTCTTTCCCTCTTGGCTTGGCTTAACTTAGGAAGGCAATTATGATGAGGAAAATCATCATAATGGTGGGGATTGTAGAGGTGGCCAGCGGCATGAGGGGAAGGGGAGGGGGAATTTGGCTTGGGTGGAGGGGAGTAAGCTTTGGGCCGGAGGTGGTGATGAGGTTGGGAGGTGGAGCTAACACAAGGAAGGGAGGTGATGGTGGCCGTCGGGTATGGAGGAAGGAGGGAGCTCGGGTGTGGAGATTAGGGGAAGAAGAAAAAGAGATAAGAGGAAAAATCAAGAGCTCACCCGCAGGGGCTATTGGCTACTTCGATTGAGCCTCTCCTAGGCTTCACCACTCTCTCTAGAACTCACAAAGAGATCTAAAACCAAAACTGAAATTTCATATCAATATTCATCATCTCCAAATACAATAGAAATGACCTAAATATAAGTCTCACAAAAAAAAAAATAAAGACTAAATTTCCCTCTGGGCTACAACAACAAATGACCACCCATAAGGGTAAAACAATAAAAGCTGAAAATAAAATAAACTACTACATAAATGACTCAAAAAAAATATAAGCTCCTGATCGTAGCCGTCGATCTCCGGTGTCTCCGATGGTACACGTGTTGAAATCTCTGACGATGTCCTCACAAGTTATAGGAAGACAAAGCCCATATTCAATGCTCATGTGATTGCTGCAAAATAAAGGAGCAAAGGAGTTTGCAAAAGTGGAAGAAAGAGAAATTTTCTAGCAGTCTGAAAGTTTGCACATCTTGCAAGCCTTTAAAGCCCATATCATATGCTTATGCGACCAGCTCAAAATCGAAGAGCAAAGGACTTCTTAACATTTCTAAATATGTTAATGAAGCGAAGGTGAAAGAAAGACTCTAGCAGCCAAGTGGGTTTGCGCGTGTAGTGGGATGGAAAACCCCATATCCAATGCTCAATATCTCTTTGCTTTGCTTTGCTGACACAGTCATACGCATTGGAAGTCTTTTTTCTATGGTTTCAAGGTCCTGTTAAACCGCAGGAGTTTGAAGATGAAATCTTTGTTGTCTATTCCATGTATTTGGAATAAATGACAGATCACAAAGCAAGCCTAATGCTTGTGTGGCTGTCTCGAAATTGTGAGGCAGAGGACTTCTCAACCTTTTTATGACTTAAACTGAATGGAAAGTGGAGAAGCAGAAGATTTCTCGAGAAGAATCTCTAAAACCAACGAGGGGACCAATTTGCCAAGAGCTTGCTGCATATCGGGGGCAGCAAGGATGCTGTAATAAGAGATTCTAGACTAGTCACAAGGGCAACGAGGAGAAACCTAACAGAGGATGGGATGACTGTTGCAATTGAACCAAAAGAATGACCGAGTCATGATAAACCGAGATCCAGTCATGAATGGCTCGGATTGGGTGGCAGGACACTGTCAGAGTCGAGCTAGAAAGTGATATAAGTGGTTCCTCACGTGTTGTGAGGAACGCAGCCAACTCTTCATATGTACATTGTGAAGAAGCCATAGAAGAGGGGAGCTCCTCTGAGATGAGATGACCTGGCCTGTGCCAAACGCAAACACAATCTGAGTGGAAAACATCTGCTAGGGATCAGGTTTCTGACAAAACCAAAAAGGATGTAGAATAAATGGAGTAATGAATAAAGCTAAATCTCACATTGAAAGAGAAAGAAAAAGTATGAAACGAATTAGAACATGATACAAAAGATGTCTTTTGCAGAATTGGATAGACTTTTCTTAGAAACTCCATGGTTAAATGTGCCTGTCATAGAGTGATAGAGCGCTCCTATAATAGGTCACTTCTCGTTAAGGAACATAAAAAAAATATACAATGGAACTCGCTTTGATTTGTTAGTTGGAAGTTTTGACTACAAATCTAGAGATTTTGGATTCAAGTCTCACGTATAATTTGATTTGTGGTGTTATATTCAAACAATCCATGATGCCAAAGTACAGCTTCTTAGCCAATCCTAAGAAATTCAGTAAACTTCATACTAATCATTTGCATAAAAGCAGTATCATTCTCTGAGAATCAGGAACTAAACTTATATAACTAAGCCAGAGCTTCAACATCTAACTTGACGTAACCAGGCGAAGCAAAACTACAGAGCATAGTTATTCATCCCAGTTCCAAATTAGAAAACCATAGTAGAATTTGTTCACACACACGTAAAAAAAACTAAATGTGTTGTGTCGTATACACCAGCATAGTCACTCAAGCTTCGTTTGGGACTGTTTTCTTACTGCTTCTTCACGCAGCTTTTTAGTATAAAAATTTTATTTGTTATACTAAAAAGTTGCTTTAAGAAGTAGTAAGAAAGTCATCCCAAAAGAAGCCTTAATTAATGGTTATCAGAACACAAACCACACTTGAAATGTTATTAAAATAAAATATTGCACTAATTTGTATGGACATTTTATGCTATTTTATTGCTGAGATTTTATATGTTCTCCATGGCAGCGGTGATAATGAGAAATTCAAGACTTCAAATGATCTGCCAGATCATAATAATATTCGTCTGCAATACATGGAAGCAGGAAACAAATAATTTCAACTTAAAGAAATGAAAGTTAGACAGTTAGACTCAATACTAATGAAATTTGATAGACATGCATTGAGAAAGATGATAGATGAGCCATTTCTTATGTTAGCTATCCTACTAAAGATCTAAGCGAAGAAAAGCTAGAAGAGCAACAAGTTTTTAAAGGTCTTCACAACATAAACAGCCGAGATGAAGCAAAATGTTGTGCAATTTAAAACTTCGAATTTATTTTTGCAAAACAAATGGGTGTTCGTATCATACAGCTACTGTTGTCTATAAAATTAGTTTTAGATCTATTATGATAAATAACTTAAAAGTTGTTGTGGGTATTTTAGACTTTGTTCTACTTTAAAAAAAAAATCAAATAATTGCTTTCTTACAGATATGACATCTCAAGAAATTTAGTTGTGAAAAGCTCATTTCACCATATGAATTTTTAAAAAGAGATAAAATCAAAATAATCTCATGATTCTCTACGAACAACCAAAATGGTTCCATGATTATTCAAAAGTCTCAATTTAGCCCCTTGACTTTTTAAATATGGACCTAAATGATCCCATAGAAAGATTAATTTGATCCCTATTTAATGAGTCAAGATAGTCCAGGACTGTTTTGGTCCTTCAAAAAAGGTTTGCAGACCAATTCGTACATTTTCTCTTTCTAAAAATAAAATATGGCTAAGAAGAAGTGCGACAACAATGTGCAAAGCAAGGCTATAGTTATTCCCAAAGTATATAGCCTCTAAATGATAGGAACAATGTTCCCTTAGCCAAACTGATGTTGACTTAGCGCATCTTTAACCGAAAATCTCATTTTTTACTCCAAAATGCCGTGAAACTAAAAAATGACGTGCTTCATCTGCAACCAAACTCCATTTTGTCCCCTTTTGCGAAGGTAACGGTCGTTCTCTTCTTTGAAGCATTTCTTCGGCAAGTTCGGTAGAGACGGAAAAATAGCGGAGATGAACAGTGCAACGCCAATATTGGCGTCCCACTATTCACCCGTAACTAAATAGCGGAAGTTTTACCGTTCGGTTGGATCTCGCGAGCAACGTCATTCAAGCGTTTGGAGTTCGATTGGAGATGCCCTTAGGCATGGAATTCACATATCCAGCCGTTTCATTAATCATTTATAAAATGGACAATTATAGATATTTCATAAAGATTGGAAATTAATTTTCAAATTTTTTATAACAAATAGATGAAATTTCAGCTGGTAAAGCAAGCTTGTAAGCAATTAGAAAGACCCTAACTACAAGCAAATCTTCTTACTCTTGACAACGCTCATGTCATAGATTCATTCTTACAGTAAGAGACTTAAACACTTAACACAATATTCATTTCTGAAAAGTAATCACTTCAAATGAACAAGCAATATGGTACATAAAAGCACTGTACACGATACCAAAGATAAGAAAATAGAACAAGAATCAAACATAAGAATTTGATCCTCTCCTATATTTTACAAAAGACCAAAAAAAAAAACCAACCTGAAAAGCCCCGCAATTCAAGGCAGAACTCAGAACTATCACATTAATTGTTTAATAAGAAACGCATCAAAGGAATCAAGATCAACAATGTCACCTCTCAAAAGCAGCAGAAATTTATAAACCGCATTGAAGACAGCGAGCCGTCACCTTTCATCCTCCAAAGAAGGAGAAGAAACCACGCTTCTTAGGCTCCTCCTCTACCATTACAGCCGTCATGCTGTCCTGCTCCACGAGCCTCCAGGCTGCCTGCTCGAATGCCAGACCTGCCAATGCCGGTGGCTTGTTCAACACCAGGGGAAACCCTCTATTGGTACTCTTAATCACCTCGGCATCCTCCGGTATAACCCCGAGCAACGGAAGACCGAGCATTTCCTGCACGTCGAGCACTGACATCATGTCTTCGCCGCGAATGAGGTCAGTCCTGACGCGGTTAACGATCATCTTAATGTCCCTGATTCCATCGCACTCAAGGAGGCCGGTGACCCGATCGGCGTCACGGAGGGCGGTGATGTCGGGAGTTGTGACGAGGACAGCTTCGTCGGCAGGGGCAATTGCAGTGATGAAACCGGCGTCGATGCCAGCAGGACAGTCAATTAGTACGAAGTCCGGGTGTCCGGCAGTGCGGGAGCGGAGGGCGTCCACCAGCCAGGTGATGGCCTTGGAGCCGAAGGAGAGGGGGAGTTTGGACCGCGGTTTGGAGATGCAAAGAAGCTCAAAGGAGGGCCAGCGCTTGTCGCGGACGAGAGCCTGGTCCAGGCGGCAGTCACCGTTGATGACCTCGACGGCAGTGTAGTTGACGCGGTTTTCAAGTCCGAGGAGAAGGTCGAGGTTGCGCAGGCCGACGTCCGCGTCAATAGCCACAACAGAGAAGCCGAGACGGGCAAGCGAGAGGCCGATGTTGGCGGTGGTGGTGGTCTTGCCGACGCCGCCCTTACCGGATGTGATGACGACCACGCGTGGGGTCTCACCGGCGAGCTGGGGCTTGCGGTTCCACTGGAGAACGGCACGAGTAATGTTTGGGCGGCGGCGGGAAAAGGAGGCAGTCGATAGTGTTTTGGTCGGCGATGAAGCTATGGGTAAAGAATGTGAACTTGGAGAGACGTGGACGAAGGATGAAGCAGATAGAAATGAGTTCGTCGGGAGGCGCCAAGCCATTGCCGCCTACTAGGGTTTTCTCGTAGATGTGATCAGCTAACACATCGCCATTCTGGGACTGTAATCGAGCGCGAGTAATTAATCAATGAGCTTATTATGATTGTCGCACTACGGGGCTCTTTGGCCGCAAGGAATGTAAATTTGGATTTAGTAAACCACGCGGGTTTATCATTTGCTTAAGATATGTTCAATTCATCTTCATTAACTAATTGGCTATTTATTCCAAATTTTAAATCTATTAGCTTAAATATATTTTTTTAATTACTTCTTAAGAAGTTGATTTTCTAGCAAATTGAAATGTGATTTTAATTCAAAATATTAATTATATCATAGCATTAAATAATTTGTGATCTCATTTATTACTAATGGAATCATTTCAATATAATCATGGCTTAATTAAGATTATCATGATATTAAAAGTTACATACAATGCTTATTTCAACTTATATTTCTTCAATTTATAGTGAGATCAATATGACAATCCAACATCCTTAATGCACAGCGAACATTGCACATAGAAAACATAAAAAAAGCTCAAAAATCGAATCATAAACCATCAAACTTTACCGAACAAGTACTAAATAATCAATCTAATGTCTAAAATATATAAAAAAAGGAAATTGCTCTAACTAAATTAAGGTATTATCATTATTGCATGTTATAATATTTGTAGCGATAGAGTTAGAGAACCTATTGTCTTAGTATTATACGAAGATCTGACAGATAGAGATAAAAAACAAGTTGCAAGCTAGAGAAATAAGAGTTGTCGTATGTAATGTGCAAAAAATTAAAAAACCATTGGCTTGGTCAAGTTAAATGATTCGGCTAATATTTGTCATTTGTTGCAAATAATTTGCGCTTCTTTTGTGGAAGGCATCCATTCAACATAATAAAAATACATTATATAATATATTATGTTGTTGAAGTTAGAAGAGTATGTGACATAAGAGTTTAACTGAAATAAACACTTTGTCTTATTTAGTTATTGTCTTTAGTTTTCTTTTCTTATTTGAGATTTAGGTCAAATGAGCACTCTTAGTCATATTCAATTATTATGGTTCTTCTTCTCACATAAAGTAAGACATAAGCTCATTGAGAGACTATTTGGCTTCTAGAGTGTTATAACTCACTTTGAATTTTGAAATGCACCAAGTGTGCAAGTAGAGAAGTCAAAACCAGGTGTGCAAGTGTCAAATTCGACTTGTTTAACCTGTTTATTAATGGATCATGCTCGTTTCTTTTCGACCAATTATAAAATAATTTGCCAATAGATTTAACTATTTAATAAATTGGAGAAATAATTTAAAAAGATTATAATAATAATTTCTTCAATTTTCATATTACACTCTTAAAACTAATTAATTATTAACCTTTATCATAGCAAGTTCTACCAAAATGCTTGGCAAACCATAACCACAAGAGTAGATTTATTAGCATTATGATTTCACATGATATTTTAATGTTATATAGTAGGTTATTTGTATTTTCTTTTAAGATTTAGATAGATTTATTTCTATAATTGTTTTATTTATATATCTTTTTACATTTTGTGGTTCATACTTTGTTGATGTGCTATCATTTTAATTTATAATAATGAAATCATATATTAGCTTCTCCTTCGTTGTTTACTCTAATATTTTCCATTTATATTATTCAAGCAAGAATTTTTTTATGAATATAATTTTTTTTTTTTCTATCATGTTTTACATTCCATGTTATTTAGGTGTACTATATTTTAGACATGAGGTGTGACAGGGAGACTTGAGTTTTGAGAGAGCTTTGAGATATAAAGAATTTCATATCATCACTTGATGGTCGATGCTCACAATTGCTAGCCACCGCCGTCATTTGACTTTTGTTGTCCAAATGTTGCCACCCATGTCTAACCACCACCACATTTCCATCATAATTCATTCAACATAACCCAAATGTTATCATCTTATTTATTATCAACTTTTTGTGGGCTAGAATATACGTAGCGATAGAGTTATAAATCTATGTCTTAACGTTGCACGGATGTCCAGCTCACACACATGGAACACAAAATTTTTTACTCAGAAAACCCTGGAAAAGGGAAAATTAATGGGGCCTGGCCCAGTTGAGAATGATTTCACTAGAATTTAAGTAGATTACAGTGGGCCGATTTATCCCTTAGAGTGTTCAAATTACAAATGTCAATCGTATAGTTGAATTATATTGACAAAGTTTGATGTCACTTGGTGATTCATTGGAAGTCTGGCGTTACTTGGAAATTTAGGCGTCAGTTGGTAGTCCGATGGCGGTTTGGAAAAACTTTGATGTCAGTCAGTGGTCTGATAGAACTCCGACATCGGACAGTGGCCTGACAGAACTTCAGCGTCGGGCTGTGGTCTGATAAATTCTGGCGTTCGGTGGTGATTCGATAGAACTATGGGCGTCAGATGGTGGTCGGGCGGAACTCTTGGCATTAGTTGGTGCTCTGGTGTCAGGTGGTGGCCGGTTCGGCGGAACTCCGGGAGTCAGGTAGTGGTCTGGTGAAACTCCGAGCATCAGGTGGTTGTCCGGCTGAATTTCGGGCGTCAAGTTGTGTCCGACGGAACTCTAGGTGTCAGGTTGTGGTCTGATGGAAGTTCAGGTGTCATGTGGTGGTTTGGCGGAACTCAGGTGGTTGTCCAACGAAACTATTCGGGCTTCAGGTGGTGGTTTGGTTGAAGTCCGGGCATTAGGAAGTGATCTGGTAGAAGTCTGTGCATCAGGTGGTGGTCCGACGGAAGTTCGGGAGTCAGGTGGAAGTTTGGCGAAACTCTGGCGTCAGGTGGTGGTTCGACGGAACTTCAGGCAGTGGTCGAGGAGCCATGGAGGCAAGAACGATATCCGATCTCTCTCTTATTTTCTTAGGCTTATGAGTCCCTTCTTATCCGATCTCTCTCTTATTTTCTTAGGCTTATGAGTCCCTCAAAAGCTGGTTTTTTTAGTGCAGTTAGTCCGTACGAACTGGCTTTAGTACGGGACGAACTGAAGAAAAGTGTGAAGAATCTATTAATTTCGTATGTACGAACCTCGAAGGGTCGGGACAATCCGTCTGGACGAAATTTGTCCAGAGAGCAAGTCGTCCGGACGCTATTTAATTTCCTCTGGACGAAATTCTGCCAGAGGGCAAATCTTCCCGGGACGAATTTTGGATCCTCCGGGACGATCAGTGTTAATAAATATCCGATAGAGATAGTTTTGGAATGATTTGAAGAGAGAGAAAGAGAAATCAGGAGAGAGAAAGAGAAGGAAAGAAAGGAAAAGCTTGGTTTCGAAGGCCGCGGAGCGATTTTCGTCCGTCGTCGTTGTTAGAAGATTTGTTCGTCTTGCAGTAAGGACTCCGAATCCTATTTCTGCTTTCGAAGATTTCGAGTTTTGGTATTTCTGTGCTCCGATTTGTGTTTCCGTTACCGAAAAACGCGCATAATTTTGTATTGACGAAAGTTTTACCGCACAACTTTTGATATGTTTCTGAGATGATTATTCTGCACGATTTGAGTATTTTCTGTAAAGTTTCTAC